CTCCCCCCCTCCCCTCCCTCCCAGAATGGGCGCCCTGCCTGGCCTGCCCCGAGGGGGAGGCCATCTACGACCAAGCCTGGTACCCGAGGATGGATGCCCGATCCGATCCGCTCAGCGCCTGCTTCCTGTCCAGCAGTCGGGACCATCCGATCCACCTGTGGGACGCGTACACGGGCGGACTGCGGGCGTCGTACCGTGCATACAACCACATGGACGAGTTGACCTCGGCGCATTCCCTGGCCTTCACCCCTGGCGGGGACAAGATCTTTGCCGGCTTTGAACGGATCCTCCGGGTCTTCGACACGGCCCGACCGGGGAGGGACCACGAGGACCGTCCGACCCGCCCTCATAAGCGAAGCCCAGAGCGGGGCTTGAACGGGATCATTTCCACCATTGCCTTTAGCCCGTTGGACGCAGCGCCAGGGATGTTTGTGGCGGGTTCTTTCTCCGGGTAGGGAGGAAGAGGGTCGGGAGGAAGGGGGGGCATTGAGGAGGAAAGTGACGATCCACCAGGAAGGGTGAGCTAGAGGATAGATTGCCTCCCTCGTGTCCGATTCCCACCCCGCCTCTTCTTCCTTATTCTCCTTTGACAGTTCCATGGCCCTCTACGACTACCGTATGAGAGGGGACTCCCTCCTCCTGTGGCCCGACCCGCATCAAGGCCAGGGTCTGACCACGCTTCGCCTCTCCTACGACGGGCGCCTGCTCTTCTCCGGGGCCCGGAAAAATGGTCATGTCCATTGTTGGGACCTGCGGAAAGGCACCTTGCTCTCCTCCTTTGCGCGCAACGCGTCGAGTAATCAAAGGCTGGGCATAGACTTGGATCCAGCGGGGCGGTTTCTGGCCACGGGGAATCGTGGAGAAGGAAAAGCACTCGTGTACGACTTGAGCACCGGAAAGGAGGTTGCAGGCCTAGGCCCCTTGAAGGACACGGCCAGCGACGTAAGTTTCCATCCGTATGCGGGTTTGGTGGCAGTTGGCATGGGAGAACGGCACTGGGAGTTTGAGAGCGAAGATGATGAGGAAGAAGAAATACTTGGGGAGGGCGTAATGGCCGGTGGGGGGGGAGAGGAGAAAGAAGGGGTCACAAGCACGTCATGGAGCAGTGGAGTGCGCCTGTTTCGAGTACCCCTGGCAAAACAAAGCAGCGGGGGGGGCGAACTAATGTAGAAAAATACATGTGAAAAGTTTAATGTCTTTTCAATCTCATCTTCTTTTCGCTCAAGATGTTTACCAGGTGGTTTACTTGGGATATGTGATGAGGATGGAGGAGGTAGCGAGGAAAGGGGAAAAGGCTCCCTCAATACCACCACAAGTCCCTCCACACCACCAAAAAAAGTTCAATACTACCATAAAATCGTCATAAATTTCACAATTTAAGACGTCACGCACGTGTGTGCACAGGATGCAGGCCGCGTGGGTTACTAGTTGCCTCACAGTTATTAACCTCCTCCCTCGCATCGCCCAGCCCGCTTCAAGACGGAAGCGAGGGCAGGAAAGTCCAGACACAAGAAACAGGAATACCGACCGGTTTGTGGGTAATGTGACGTTTTCACCGCATTTTGACTTTAAAATCTCCGTGTTGACTCGTTACAGGGCAGGACTTTCGAGCTTTGGTGTATGAGAGGCTCCGTGATTTGTGCCACCGACGTGCCCGCCTTTTCCCCCCCTCCTCCGTCCCCCTCATCGCCTCTCCCACTCCTTCTGGCTGACGCCGCCTTGGATGACATTCCAGCTGCATCCTGTCAAGCCCATGTCTCCGATGCCCTTGAGCATCTGAATAGGCTCCTCTCGCACCCTATCTCTCCTGCCTCCGTCACCACCCTTTTCGCCTTCGCCACGAAGGTCTTCGCGGCCCGTCCTCCGCCCTGGCATGACGCGGGGTCAACGGGTGAAACAGCGTTCACGGCCTGCATGGACGGTATCTCAATACACTTGCCTCGCCTCGTAGAGCGCATGAGCTCGCCAAGCTTTTTAGCAGGCCCATCCCACGGCCTCCCTCTTTCCTCCCATTCTTCTTCGACGTCCAACCTGCCTTCCTCCACCTCCTCCGCGCTCTATCCAGGACACCTTGAATGCCTCTCCCTTGTATGCGCCCGATTGCTGGCCCTAGATGATCACGTGAACGGAGAACCGCGCAGACTGATGCTGATATGGAAGCACCTGGTCCTTTTGGCCACGGCCCCGGGGCATGCGCCGGCCTTGGCCTGGTTTGCCAAGGAGGAAGGGGCGCGGAGACAGAAGGAGGGGGAGGGGTTCACAGGGCGGCAGGGAGGCCAGGGCGAGAAAAGCGTGTTTTTTCGGCCGGAAGAGGCCTTGGAGGTCTTGCTCGCAAAGTATGCCGAGGAGGGTCTGGACCAGTTGCAAAGAGCCTTGAGCCGCCTTTCCGCCCTCTCCTCCCCCTCCTCCGCCCCCACCTGCTCCTCTTTGCCGGACCCTTGCGAATGCCGCGCGCTGCAGACGTCTTTTATCCAAGCCAGCAAACTCATGACCATCTTCCTCCTTCGCGTCGCCCTCCTCGTCCTCCACTTCGGCCCTTCCTTCCTCTCCCTCCCTGCCTCTTTTCCCTCCCTCCCGGCCACCCATTCCCTTGCCAGGCACTTGCGGGAGGCACACGGGAAAGAAGAGGGCATGAAAAGTGTCGGCCAAGTCGATGGGCCGGATGGGGAAAAGAACGGTG